TCCCAGTGCAAATCATTTTATATTCTTCAAAATCGTTTCGGAGCGGATCCGCTCCGATTTGCTACATTGCAAGTATATGGGACGTATTCTAACTGTGGTGAGGGCTTGTACCAAGACACAGTTAGATTATTCTAAGTTAAACTAAGCTAATTAGAGCTCATTAATTAGAGATGAAAATTATTTTTAGTAGATAGCCAAAAACTTTCATTTCATTCAATTTTTTCTCTCAATAATTCACTCATTAATTTTCAGCTCACCTGAGCCAAAGGCTCAAGTGAGCTTTTCTGATCACATTTTGTCCGGCGTCCGTCTGTCTGTCTGTAAACTTTTCACATTTTCGACTTCTTCTCAAGAACCGCTGGGCCAATTTCAACCAAACTTGCCACAAAGTATCCTTGGGTAAAGGGGATTCAAGTTTGTTCAAATGAAGGGCCACGCCCTCATTCAAGGGGAGATAATTGGGAATTAATGAAAATTTGGTGGCATACTTTAAAAATCTTCTTCTCAAGAACCACTGTGCCAGGAAAGATGATACTTATGGGGAAACATCCTCAGGTAGTTTAGATTCAAATTTGTTCAAATCATGACCCCTGAGGGTAGGGCGGGGCCAAAATGGCCGACTAAAGTTTTACATAGAAATATATAGGAAAATTTTTTTAAAATCTTTTTCTTAAGAATGACAAAGCCATAATTCATCATATTTATATGGGAGCATGCTCAGGTAGTGTAGATTCGAGTTTGTTCAAATCATGACCCCCGGGGGTAGGGCGAGGCCAAAATGGCCGACCAAATTTTTCAAAGATTTATATAGGAAAATTCTTTAAAAATCATTTTCTAACAAATAGCAAATCCATGATTGTTAATTGGACTACTTTTGGATTTAATAATTACAATAAAAAGCCAATTTCTACTTTTTCCTACCCTTAGTTTTTTTCCTACCCTTAGTGCTCAGGTGAGCGATGTGGCCCATGGGCTCTTGTTTGGATTGTGTATTACGTCAGAATACTTCCACAACAATTTTCCACTGAGTTACATTTTCACTGAAGGTTCATGTCACTTGGGTGGCAGCTTGGAATTTGGTTTATCCAATGGTTTTAAAGGTGACATTAATGTACCGAGCATATACTTACACTCTTATGGGGGAGGGTATCAAGTAGTCCACATTTTTCATTGAGTTCTTGAATGTTCGGCCTTATTTTCTTCATATTTTAGCGATAATTTGAACCACTTTGTTGCAGGTCTGGTACCCAGGTGACCAACAGCCATGCCCACATTCAGCTGTTCAGCTCTTTGTCCCCTGCCAGATCTTCTCACCTCTTTGTAGTTTTTCTCTGTGACTGGTATAGTGGCACTTTTTACATCGGATGGAAAGGATCCATGCCAGGCCTCTTTTTTCCTTCCCATGCTGATTCCAGTCGAGTAGACCATCACAGTCTGGAAACTTATGTGAGTGTTCTTTAAATGCATTTTTCCAGATTTAGCATTAGCATTCTTTTCTTGGTGAAGTACTTTGTATAATTTCCAGGGATATGCCTTTGTTGTACAATCTTCATCTCATGTGCACTGCCTCGGCTCTTCAATAGATATCTATAACTGCAAACATTCCATTTTTAGCTCACCTGAGCCGAAGGCTCAAGTGAGCTTTTCTGATCAAAATTTGTCCGTTGTCTGTCGTTGTCATAGTCGTTGTCGTCGTTAACTTTTCACATTTTCATCTTCTTCTCAAGAACCGCTGGACCAATTTCAACCAAACTTGCCACAAAGTATCCTTAGGTGAAGGGGATTCAAGTTTGTTCAAATGAAGGGCCACACCCTTTTCCAAGAGGAGATAATTATGAATTAGTGAAAAATTAATGACATTTTTAAAAAATCTTCTTCTCAAGAACCACTGGGCCAAAAAAAATGAAACTCATGTGGAAGCATCCTCAGGTAGTGTAGATTCAAGTTTGTTCAAATCATGACCCCCGGTGGTAGGGTTGGGCCACAATGGCTGATCAAAGTTTTACATGGGAGTATATAGAGAAAATCTTTAAAAATCTTCTTCTCAAGAACCACTGGGCCAAAAAAAATGAAACTCATGTGGAAGCATCCTCAGGTAGTGTAGATTCAAGTTTGTTCAAATCATGACCCCCGGTGGTAGGGTTGGGCCACAATGGCTGAACAAAGTTTTACATGGGAGTATATAGAGAAAATCTTTAAAAATCTTCTTCTCAAAAACCACTGGGCCAGGAAAGATGAAACTCATGTGGAAGCATCCTCAGGTAGTGTAGATTCAAGTTTGTTCAAATCATGACCCCTGGGGGTAGGGTGGGGCCACAATGGCCAATCAAAGTTTTATATGGGAGTATATAGGGAAAATCTTAAAAATTCTTCTTCTCAAGAACCACTGGGCCAAAAAAAATGTAACTCATGTAACTCATGTGGAAGCATCCTCAGTAGTGTAGATTCAAGTTTGTTCAAATCATGACCCCCGTGGGTAGGATAGGGCCACAATGGCTGATCAAAGTTTTACACAGGAATTTATAGGAAAATCTTCTTCTGAAGTACTTCAAAGCAATGATTAGTGATAGTATAGGAAGAAAATGTTTTAAAAAAATCTTTTTTATCAAGAACAGCAAAGTCATATCCTGTATTAATATGAAGACATTCTAAAGTAGTATTAAATTCAAGCCCTCCCCCCCCCCCCTTCAGTAAACTTTTTAGTTCTGATCTGATTTGTGTTTTTTCCTAGCCGATTTGCTCAGGTGAGCGATGTGGCCCCTGGACCTCTTGTTTCTTTGGTGACCTAATTCGATTCTCTATAGAGAAACGATCAGTCGTATTTTAGGGCTGCTAACTACACGTAGCGGAATAGAAATAAAGTCCTTGTTTTTGTGAATGATGCAGAATAACCTCCTCGGTCTCGAAATGCCTCGGCTTTTATCTTTCAAACAACATTTCTCAACCTCGGAGGTTATTCTGCAACATTCACGAAAACGTGGACTTTATTTCTTAAATATTATGATGCTTTAAAGCTCAATTTCAATGGAAAAATATAACAATTTATTTATCAATTTTTGGCAAAATTTTTAGGCCTTCTGTATTAAATTTGGACTCGTGTACTAGAAATATCATAAATGTAGCAGAATTATGCCACTGAATTAAAGGGAACTCTTTTTTTCAGGTGTGCATGATACAACTTCCTAGATGGTGTGTAGGCTGTTTATCAACATGTGAAACCCATGTGTATTTCAGGGTTGGTATGTTTATATTGTCAATTTTCTTTCTTAAAAGCCTCATGAGACATTTATTATGCCCCCCTTCGAAGAAGGGAGGGTATATAGCTTTGCTGCTGTTGGTCGGTCTGTCGGTACACTTATGCCCTGTTCACACGGAGAGTTTAATTTGAATTAAATGTAAAGTTACTGCGAATTAGCTTCGCTTAGAGTTCACACGGAAAATTTAATGTGAATTAGTTTAATTCGTATTAATTTACTGCGCATTAAATTACTTCGCATTAGCTCCGTGTGAACACTAAGCGAAGCTAATTCGAATTAAATTTTGATGCATGCCGAAGGCCAGAATTAAGTCACGTACAGGACACGTGTTGGTGGTTATATATAGGTATTTGTGCTATATTTGTTTAAAAAATTGAGGGAAAGTATGTAAATCACTAAAATCAATGAATACCTGTAGCCACTACATGATGTATCAAAGGATGGTTCTGCACACATGACGTGATTTACAAATGACGTCATAATAGACTTACTGACGCCTGACTGTAGTAGAAAAATTTTAATTTGCATTAGTTTACTTCGCATTAGCTGTCATATGAATGCAATTTAATACGCATTTATTTGATTTGCATTAGTTTACTTCGCATTAATTTACTGCGAATATGAATTAAACTCATCGTGTGAACAGGGCATTAGTTTCTGTTCATTTTCTTCACAACCGTTGCACATACTGAAATGAAATATGGTATACAGATATATCACATGAATATATGGGTCAAGTTGTGTTTTGGATACGAACGGAAGACCTTAATAACTTCCTTGTGTGAGAACTAAAGAGGAGCAGATATCTCTTATTTTGACTACAATTTCTCTGATTTCAGGAGTAGTTTCCTCTGTTAAAGATCAATAATTCACAACATACAATGCGGCATGCAGTCTGGTCATCAATGGAGAGTTTTGACACCTGTATACTTGTATTCTACCAGTCATCTTTGTAGCCTTTGTTGTGTTCATCAGACAGGTAAGAAAAAGAGTTAATAAAATTAAATCAAGCTATGTAGTGATATATAGTGAAATTATTTCTTTGTTCGAGACATAAATGCCATCTTGTAGCACTCTCCCTTGGGAATCTGGCAAAATCCCTGATTCTTGTAAAAATGGTATTTGCTTATATGGAAGATTCATATTAAAACTTTGAATTACAAATTGACCTTTGATATACCGTAGATCAGATATGAATTATTTTAAAAAACATTTAAATGATCCTTAAGTTTTTTTCAAGGTTCTTTTTATCATTTCAGGCTTTAGGTGAAAGTGGTCTGTCACTGAGTCAACAATTACTGTGACCCAATATTTGGTGCCATTCACAAGCAGAAAAATATACATAAAGCCAACATTCATCATGTTTGATCTTAAACTACACGACTACCAGGTAATATGTTTATTAATGATTATTAATGATCCTTATTTTGGCAAAAAGTGTTGTTTCTGTCTCGGTCTATCATTAACATTAGCTAATTTATTTACTTTGTATTTGAAATACAATTGTCATGTATAGTAAAAAAAAATTATTTGAATTTTTCTAGTCTTTAAACATTCTTGTAGGTAAAATGGGGATGTTTCTACCATTATCATCATATATACCCTGAAAACTTGTACTTTAAATATACACAAAGTATCATAGTAAAAAAAAGAATAATGGGATTCATTGTATTTCTATAGTGTTGTATAACTGGAGCCCTGCCCAGTATTACTCAAACGTGAGCTATGGGGAGAGAGTCCAGAGATATTTCCCCTATGGATGTGTTTCAAAGAATTCTGATGGACCTTGGAGCCGTGTCAGTTATAGGAGATCATTTCACTACTTGTGTTTTTCCAAAAATTTCCATGTGACCTAGAGATGGACTCTGGATATTTTATTGATTTCTCATATGGCCTGAAGCAGGACAAACCACCAGGAATACTATGTGAAAGAACCTTTATAATTTTTGGATGGTTGTGGGAATTTGATGTATTATTGTAGTGTATAACCATGACATTTTCCATGATATATCCTAGGATGATAGAAGAATTCATTTTGCTAGATATTTGTTTAAGATTACTTAGGCTTACTATTTTATCTGAATGAGACAGAATCATTCAGAGAGCATTTAATTATTTTTTTTATCTAGAAGTATTGAGGTTTAATAATTATACTTTTTTCATTTTTTACTTAAATTTCCTTTTTGAAGTTTATTGTATTCTTAAGATTGATTCAAAATATATTTGTATGTCTTTGTTTTGAACATTTTTTTTATACATGTATAAAGTTTTTTTTCCGATATATTATTTAAGCTAAAAAGCGGTGGAGGTATTTTTACCAGAGATTTCCTGAACGCTGAAAAGAAACTAATTTTAGCTTATTATTACCTTAGATTGTTTCTATACATAAGAAATCTAGGTAACTGTGGGAAGTTTTCTTTTCTTTATATATGTATTTGAATCAGCACTTGTCTGAATTTTAAATTTAAGCTAAAAACAGGAGTTTTTTTTTTTTAATTCGTGCTTGATCACAAATAAATAGATTTAATACAAGGGAGGTTTTTAGTGCTTACCTGAATATTTGAATTTAAAAGTAAGGGAGATATTTAGTACTTGTCAGAATAATTAAATTTAAAATTAGGGAGGTACATGTATTTAAGTTTAAAAATAGGAAGTTATTTAGCGCTTGTCTGATTATTTAGATTTGACTGAGGTATTCACTGCTTCTTTGAATATTTAAAAAAATTAGGGAGGTATTTAGTGCTTGTCTGAATATTTAACTTTAAAAAATGAGGGAGGTACATGTATTTAGTTTCTTGCCTGAATATTTAGATTTAAAAGTGAGATAATTAATTGCCCGAATATTCAAGTTTTAAAATGAGGGAGATAGTTCTTGCCTGAATGTTTAACTTATATAAAGGAGGGAGGTTGTTGGTATTTTCCTGCATTAGCTATAGAAGTTTTAAACCAGGGAGGTACATACACATGTAGAACTTGCATGAATATTTTTTTTAAGTTTTAAGACGAGGGAGGTATTAAGTGCTTGCCTGACATTTACTTTGGAAATTTTATATGAGGGAGGTATTGAGTGCTAGCTTGCCTGACATTTACTATGGAAAAATTATATGAGGGAGGTTTTTATTGCTAAATATTTATTTTAAAAAAACAGAGGTATTTATTACTTGCCTGAATTTTAATGACAAGTTATATTTTAAAAAAAAGTAAGTAGAAAGGGTAATTTCTGTGGCTTATATTGCTTGCAGTGTTTTCTGTTTTTTGTTCATTTAAACAGCAATACTTTTTTTTTTTTTTGCAAACAGAAAATTCGATGAAACATTGAGTTAAAGAGAGTTTTGAAGGTGACGAACAGTGAATGATCCAAAACAAAAACTGTAATCAATACAAATCTGTAAATAAGGCATAAAACAAGGATCACAGGAAATCACAGCTGTGGGATCAGGTGCCTTGGAGGACTAAGCATTCCATAACGATCCGGTCACACCTGTTACTAGCACAATGTAATGATCAGAGAGATGAAATATTCCGTGCTCAGTTTCAGTATCAAACAAAGCTGAAATAGTTCAGTCATAATAACCACAGAAATTATCCATTGTGGTATTTTTATGGTAGATATTCTGTCTTTCTTCTTCCTTTCTCTTTTTATTTTTTTTTTTCTAAAGCTTAAAGAAGCAAGGTCTTTTTTCTTCTGACTATCCCCCCTTTTTTAAGGTAATTTTTTAAAAATATTTCTTATTAATTCAATTGACAATTATTTATATACTATCTCTTCTTTCTTTCTCTTATATTTTTTTTTATTACAAAAACATTCATATTTCTCTTTTCTTTCTTTCTTTTTTTTTTATTAGGAGTTTTTTTTTTTTTTAAATTAATTAAGTTTTTGTATTTTTTGTAATGGTAATGATGTTTAAAAAGCAGTAGTGATTAGTAATTTTCCTCATTTTTTCAGAGGAATTGTATTTAACTGAGGACAACTCATGGATTTTAAAAACCTCCCTATGTATCTCATTATACTAGTAGCTATGAACATTAAAATGTCTGGCTCGAGAGAAACAGATGAAGTCACACTTGCTCAGATTTTTTCTTAAATGAGTACGTTATCTTTTTATAAGGGTTGATATTTTCCATATAACGGGTAATTTCTGTGGCTCATGTTGTTTGCATTTTTGCGCTTTTTAATTCATTTCAAATGGTAATACTGTTGCTTTTTAAATCAAAACAATCTATGAGAATTTGAGTCAATGAATGTTTTGAAGATAACGAACAGTGAATGATCCAAAACAAAAACTGTAATCAATTCAAATCTGTAAATAAGGCATAAAACAAGGATCACAGGAAATCACAGCTGTGGGATCAGGTGCCTTGGAGGACTAAGCATCCCATTACGATCCGGTCACACCTGTTACTAGCATAATGTAATGATCAGAGAGATGGAATATTCCATGCTCAGTTTCAGTATCAAACAAAGCTGAAATAGTTCAGTCATAATAACCACAGAAATTATCCATTGTATGGTATTTTAATGGTAGATATTCTGTCTTTCTTCTTCCTTTCTCTTTTTATTTTTTTTTCTAAAGCTTAAAGAAGCAGATCTTTTTTTCTTCTGACTATCCCCCCTTTCTTAAGGTAATTTTAAAAAAAAAAAAAATATTTCTTATTAATCCAAATGACAATTATTTTTATACTATCTTTTCTTTCTTTCTCTTATATATATTTTTTTTTACATAAACGTTCTTATTTCTCTTTTCTTTCTTTTTTTTTTTAATTAGGAGTTTTTATTATTATAATAAAGTTTTATTTTTCTCTCATATAATTTAGTTTTAATTTATTTTCTTATGGCAAGGACGTTTTGTTTAAAAGCTTTAATCAGAAGAAATATCTCTTTCTTTCTCATTATTTCATAATCAGAGATATCTCAATGACTATCACAGGCTCCCTCTATAACTCGTTGCAACTTTCTGTCTTTGTCATAAAGTTATCTAAGTTGTTGTATTTTTTGTAATGGTAATGATGTTTAAAAGCAGTAGTGATTAGTAATTTTCCTCATTTTTTTCAGAGGAATTATATTTAACTGAAGACATCTCATGGATTTTAAAAACCTCCCTACGTAGCTCATTATACTAGTAGCTACATGTATGAACATTAAAATGTCTGGCTCGAGACAAACAGATGACGTCACACTTGCTCAGATTTTTTCTTACATGAGCACGTTATCTTTTTCTAAGGGTGGTTATTTTCCATATAGTGGGTAATTTCTGTGGCTCATGTTGTTTGCATTTTTGCCCTTTTTAATTCATTATTTCAATGGTAATACTGTTGCTTTTTAAAGCAGAAAAATCTATGAAAAATTGAGTCAATGAATGTTTTGAAGATGACGAACAGTGAATGATCCAAAACAAAAATTGTAATCAATACAAATCTGTAAATAAGGCATAAAACAAGGATCACAGGAAAACACAGCTGTGGGATCAGGTGCCTTGGAGGACTAAGCATCCCATAATGATCCGGTCACACCTGTTTTTAGCATAATGTAATGATCAGAGAGATGGAATATTCCATGCTCAGTTTCAGTATCAAACAAAGCTGAAATATTTCAGTCATAATAACCACAGAAATCATCCATTGTATGGCATTTTTGTGGTAGATATTCTGTCTTTCTTCTTCCTTTCTCTTTTTATTTTTTTTTCTAAAGCTTAAAGAAGCAAGGTCTTATTTCCTCTGACTATCCCCTCTTTTTTAAGGTAATTTTTTTCAAAAATATTTCTTATTAATTCAAATGACAATTATTTATATTCTATCTCTTCCTTCTTTCTCTTATATTTTTTTACGTAAATGTTCTTATTTCTCTTTTCTTTCTTTTTTTAATTAGGAGTTGTTTTTTTTTTTTTAATTTTAAGATAGTTTTATTTTTCTATCATACAATTTAGTTTAAATTTATTTTCTTATGGCAAGGATGCTTCGTTTAAAAGCTTTAATCAGAAGAAATATCTTTTCTTTCTCATTATTTCATAATCAGAGATATCTCAACGGCTATCACAGGCTCCCTCTATAACTCATTGTAACTTTCTGTCTTTGTCATAAAGTTATCTAAGTTGTTGCATTTTTGTAATGGTAGATGTTTAAAAAGCAGTAGTGATTAGTAATTTTCCTCATTTTTTTCCAGAGGAATTACATTTAACTGAAAACATCTTATGGATTTTAAAAACCTCCCTATGTAGCTCATTATACTAGTAGCTATGAACATTAAAATGTCTAGCTCGAGAGAAACAGATGACGTCACACTTGCTCAGATTTGTTCCTAAATGAGCACGTTATCTTTTTATAAGGGTAGTTATTTTCCATATAACGGGTAATTTCTGTGGCTGATGTTGTTTCCATTTTTGCCCTTTTTAATTCATTTCATTGGTAATACTGTTGCTTTTAAAAGCAGAAAATTCTGTGAGAAATTGAGTCAATGAATGTTTTGAAGATGACGAACAGTGAATGATCCAAAACAAAAACTGTAATCATTTCAAATCTGTAAATAAGGCATAAAACAAGGATCACAGGAAATCACAGCTGTGGGATCAGGTGCCTTGGAGGACTAAGCATCCCATAACGATCCGGTCACACCTGTTACTAGCATAATGTAATGATCAGAGAGATGGAATATTCCATGCTCAGTTTCAGTATCAAACAAAGCTGAAATAGTTCAGTCATAATAACCACAGAAATTATCCATTGTATGGTATTTTTATGGTAGATATTCTGTCTTTCTTCTTCCTTTCTCTTTTTATTTTTTTTCTAAAGCTTAAAGAAGCAGATCTTTTTTTTCTTCTGACTATCCCCCCTTTCTTAAGGTAATTTTTTTTTAATATTTCTTATTAATTCAAATGACAATTATTTTTATACTATCTTTTCTTTCTTTCTCTTATATATATATTTTTTTACATAAACGTTCTTATTTCTCTTTTCTTTCTTTCTTTTTTTTTTTAATTAGGAGTTTTTGTTATTTTAATATAGTTTTATTTTTCTCTCATATAATTTAGTTTTAATTTATTTTCTTAAGGCAAGGACGTTTTGTTTAAAAGCTTTAATCAGAAGAAATATCTCTTTCTTTCTCATTATTTCATAATCAGAGATATCTCAATGACTAT